CCCTGATTGCTCCCTGGTGACCAAGACAGCCATGGCTCACCATGCTCCGCTACTGACTACCTGTGACTACCCCTCACCTTCTATCACAACATCAAGGCAGGACTCACCATCCAGACCTCCACACCCTCCACCTTACAGTGTGGAGAATTCACCCTCAGTGAATGCCATTTTAGCCAACACCCATAAACCTACCACGGTCAGACTCTATTCTTACAAATGGTCATCTTTACCAGATTTGCCCCCCCAACATCATCTTCTGACTAGTCTGACAGTTTTACAAGCTGTCCTACAATTCCTATTACAGTGGTGCCTCGCTAGATGATGATAATCCGTTCCACTGAAATCACTATTTAGCAAAATCATTGTCTAGCGAAAAGCATTTCCCCATTGGAATGCATTGAAACCTGTTTAATGCATTCCAATGGGGAAGAATTGTCGTTGTCTAGCGAAGATCGGCTATAGGAAAGCCGCTTTGTGAACCACTGATCAGCTGTTTAAATAGCTGTTTTGTGAAGCTTAGATCCCGAAAACACCTGTTTTGCGAGTGCGGAGGGAGCTGTCAAAATCATTGTCTAGTAAAAATTGGTTTGCGAAGCAGGGACCAAACATTGTCCAGCGAAATTCCCCCATAGGAATCACTGTTTTGCGAATTGCTATAGCGAACGCAAAAAGTCAATGTCTAGCAAAAATACTGTCATGTGGGGTAACTATCTAGCGAGGCACCACTGTATTTATTTCATAAGCAACTATCCCTTTCAACTCTCAAAGTCTACCTGTCTGCCATAATTGCTCATCAACCTCAAGATTCCAAAGTTGCCATGATTTTTCGTCATCCCACATTGAAACAGTTCCTTCACAGTGTCTCCAATATGCGCTCTCCTGTGCCAGCACCTCCCCCCACAATGGTCTCTACCCCTTGTTCTCCACTGGCTTTCCCGACCTCCATTTGAACCACTTGCCACTACTTTAGAGCACCTTCTTTCCCTCAAAACGCTCTTCCTTGTCGCCATTACTTCTGCCCACAGGGCCTCTGAGCTCGCAGCCCTCAGGATTGACCCTCCATTCCTCCAATTTCACCCCGACAAGGTCACCCTTTTCCCTAATGTCTCCTTCCGGCCAAAGGTCATGTCACACTTTCACCTTTCCTAACCTATAATTCTACCAATGTTTTTCCCATCATCTGCAACTTCGCTGGAACGATCACTGCACACATTGGACACCAGATGTGCTCTTGCCTTTTATATCTCAAGAACTTCTTCCTTCCATAAATCAGAGTGACTGTTTGTATCACCACACCTCCCTCACAGAGGCTCTCACATCTCCTCTCAAACGATTTCCCGTTGGATCGTTTCCACCATAAAACTGGCATATCAACTTGCTAAACAGTACGTATCTACATGTGGGTATTAAGGCTCATTCTACTAGAGCAACAGCTACCTCTACGGCGTTTCTTCATGGAGTACCACTCCCTGACATTCGTAAAGCTGCCACATGGGCAACGCCATCTACATTTGTCATCCACTACAGACTGGACTTAGGCGCCAAAAAGGATGCATTGTTTGGGAGAGCTGTGCCTTCTTCAATTCTTCCGTGACGTCTCTCCACCTATAAGGGTGGTCTTAATCACCCATTAGTGTGCATTCACAGAGATCACAAAGAAAAAAGAGAGGTTACTTACCTGTAACTCTGGTTCTTCAAGTGGTCATCTGTGAATTCACACTTCCCGCCCATCCTCCCCTCTGTCCGTCACTCCTGTAACTCTTGATGCAGCGATGGGCTGTTCTTCGGAACTGAGACAATTACCAGGACAGGCGGACCATGTGGACTAGGGGGGTGGTCCTTGACAAATGTGTCATAAAGCTCTAGAATATTCCTGAGACCTCTGTGCAAGCGCAGATTAAACCCATTAGTGTGAATTCACAGATGACCACTCGAAGAACCAGAGTTATAGGTAAGTTACCTCTCTTTTCCCCCCTACACTTTCTTTGTGAAAAGCTGATTTCCCCGTCCATGTTTTGGAAAGAAATTAGAGGAGGAAAGTGATTCCTGCTTTCTCCGTACACTTTCTTTGCGAAAACCTGCTTTCCCCCTCCACCTTTTGCAATGAAAATGTAGTAGGGGGAAAGTGATTTCTGCTTTCCCCCTACACTTTATTTGCAAAAAGCTGCTTTCCATCTACACTTTTTGCAATGGTTGGGAAAAAATTGCAAAAAGTGTAGAGGGAAATCAGCTTTTTCGTGAAGAAAGTGTAGGGCAGGGGTTGTCAACACCCAGTCCCTGGCCCAGTGCCGGTCCATGTACTTGCCGGAACTGGGTAACGGATATGGATCTCTGCCCACACGTGTGGTGGCTATGTCATGTTCGCACAGAGGCATGTCGCGCTTGCAGGGAGGTGTCGCACTCGCGGTGTGTGTGTTCCACTTGCGGGGGGCATGTCACACTCGTGTGCACGAGTGTGATGCCCCCGCGAGTGTGATACACCCTCCACGCTTGCACGGGGTGCCCCCACCAGCCCACACATAGAGCCCGCTCCCCCCAACTGACCCATGGCCCCAAAGAGGTTGGGGATCCCTGGTGTAGGGGGAAAGCACCTTCCTCGCAAGAATGTGTTGGGGGAAAGCAGGAATCAAAGTGCTTTGATCCCTGTATTCACCTTCAATTTTCTTGCAATGAAAGAAATTTGGGGTTAGAAAAGTGGGAGAGTGTCCTATATGTGGAAAAATACAGTAAATAAAACTAATCATCATCATCTGTCTATTCCTGTGTCTTTAACAAGAGGTTTGACTGCAGAACTCAGCAGTTTTTTAAGAGCTAAATAGTAAAGGAGTTAAATACTGCTATCTGTTGGTGTACATCACTGGTCCCAAAACCCCGAGTGGGGACATGGCTACTAAGGGGACCATAGAGAAATTCTAATATGATGGTTTTTCTTTTTTTAAAATTGACTTAAACAAATTAACATGATAAATATCATTGCTAAAACTTAGGATTTGTAGTTATTTTTATTTTAAAAAGTTTGTTTTTAATTTTATATTATTAATTTATTTTAATTTTTGTTTATTTATTTGCGGCCAGCCGGACAATAGTTTGTGTCCCCCAAGTTGCCTGTCCCCCGAAGCGCCCACGCGTCCTCTGCTGTTAAGAGTCAAAAAAAGGCTTGCCTCGCTCACTGGCTTTCTCCCAAGACAGTGCTTCTTGCATCCTCCATCTGGAATGCAGCCTGCCAGCCAGTCCGCCTGTCTACCGTCCCTTTTCCCCAAGCCCCTGATCCACCACTGAGCGATGCCTGAGATTGGAGCTCGCTCCCAGCCCGTCCTCAAAGAGCGCCTCCAAGCTAACAACAGCAGCTGCCACCGCCACCTCTTCCAGGGAAGCGGCTCTCTGGCTCTCTTTCTCTCTCAGCACCCCCAGCACCAGCCCAGCCAGCGGCCGCCTCAGCACCTGGCGGTGCTTTCTCCTCCTCGTCCTGCTTCACCCACCTCGGCTCTGGAGGCTGCCTGGGCTCGCCTCACAAAGTTTGCTCCTCTGTCATGGTCGGGGTAGCTACTGCTGCTGAATGCACCTTTTTTGAGGGGCCCCTCAGAGGAAGGTTGCTGGACCTCCCTGTGTGTGTGTTTGTGTGCATGCATGCGCGTGTGCACCTGTGGGACCCCTGCCCTGTTCTATCGGTGCTTTTTTCCTTTGGCAAGGAGAATTCTGTGAGGTTTTTGTTTTTAAAAAAATTTATGTCGTGCCCTCCTCCCCACCCTGCTAGGCGGTCGCTGGCACTCCCTCCCTTCTCCACTTTTTCATCTTGGTGGTGGTAGTGAAGAAAGAGCTGGAGGGGGTTGTGGCGATGAGCTCTTGGTGATGAGGGCTCGCATGCCCCTCCTCCTCCTCCTCGGAGTTCCAGCTGGGCTAAGGAAACTCCTGGGCGGCTTCCTTGGGCTCTTGCTCTGCTTGGCGGAAAATCTGATGCAGCCCAGCTTCACCCAGACTCTGCCTCCAGCAGCCGCCAAGTAAATTGAGTTTGAGACCCCTGATGTAGAACAATCTACATTTATTCAAATACATCATGTCATCTTCTTCTGGTTGCTGCACAATTGTGGAGGGCGGACTTTCACTTAACTGGGGGTTTTTGAGAGGGTAGGGCTTATATTATACAATTGTGGAGGGCGGACTTTTACTTAACTGGGGGGTTTTGAGAGGGTAGGGCTTATATTATGAGCATCCTGAAAAATCATATTAGGGCTTACTTTCAGGTTAGGTCTTATTTTCGGGGAAACAGGGTAGTTGCTTTCTTTGGTTAGTTCACAGCATTTAGTTCACAATATACAATGATATGCAGACACAGCCACTGAGCTTAGTCCACCTGTTCTTCCCACCCCCACCTGGTTCGGCGTGGTGCCCCAGCAACTACCCAGCTGGCTACTGCATGTTACCAAACTTGTGCATTGGTGTAAAAAAAATGTAAACCATCTAATTCTAGGTTATGAATTACTTTTGTATTTTCCAACTTGCCTAACCTTCTGGAAGTTAATTATAAATTAATTATATTTAGACTATGGCTCATAAAAACATGCTTAATCTTTGAGTTAAAAGTAACTGTAAAAGGTAACTATTCTGCTAATTGCAAGTGTATGTCTATACCTTGGAACTGAGTTTTTATGTCATAGTAAACTTGCATAGAAAGTTTATATGTTAATAGATCTTATAAACATGATTACAATACAGGGGAAAAAGTTATTTAATGTTGCACATATCTGTAGGGGAAAAGAGGCCCACTGAGTTCAATAAATTGGATCTTTTCCCTCGGTAAGAACATCATTTCAAACACATATTCACTGCTTCTAAAATATACACTTCGCTTAATTAAGTGTATCAGAATTGTTATGATATGTGAGAGTTGGCAATATAACATAAACTTTAGAATGTACAGAAATATTCTTAAAATTTTTGTATGGATTGTAACATTTGGATTTCAAAATGTAAAGTATAAATAAGAAAATGTTTTGTTTTAGGAAAGCAGGTAAAAGATGGAAAGAAGCCAGAGCCTTGTAAACCTATTCTTAAAGTGGAATACAAAACTACCAGAGCAGGGTAAGAGTTAAGAAACTGTTCTTCAGTTCTGTTTTGGAGATTTCTAGTGAATGAACATCAAAGTTGTGACCCTTATGCTGACAGAACACCATGGTGGGAAAGGTAAGGGAGGCAGTTTGTCCTTCCTCTACAGTTTCAGTTCCGTCTCCCATGCTGTGCTGGATATTGTGTCTCTTCACAGCAGCCTTTGGAGAACTAACAAGGAATTCATATGGCAGTAGCATCTGCATTTGAAATAGAAGGGAATATATATTCATAAAAGGGCATGTTTTTATCTATCACAGTTTTTGCAAAGGGCAAAGTGTTAGTATATGCAGGCAAATCAGACAAAAACAAAAAACAGTTATCTCAAATCAATGCATTATGGAATGTTTCAGTGTATTTTAAAATATTTAACATAAAATATTTTAAATAAAATATTGTAGAATATGTCACAATCCATTGGATATGCTTGTGTTCTTACTACAAATCATAATCCAAGAAGGTGCGGCATTATGCCAGATATATAGTACAGTGGTGCCCCGCATAGCGACGTTAATCCGTTCCAGGATTAACGTCGCTATACGAAAACATCGCTGAACGGAATAAAAACCCCCATAGGAACGAATTAAACCCTGTCTAATTCGTTCCTAGGGGGCAAAAACTCACCGTTCAGCGAAGATCTTCCATAGGGCTGCCATTTTCGCTGCCTCGGTAAGCGAGGCACCGAACGGGCAGCCATTTTGGAACCGCCGATCAGCTGGGCGGCGGGCTCTTGGGGAGGAGTGTGGGGACCTCCTCCACCCTCCTTCCCAGAAGCCAGCTGGCCTTTCCCCCCAGCTGGGCGGCGGGCTCAAGCGGCAGCGGCTGCAGGGTGGCTGGGGTGTCTGGAAGGCTTCGGGACACCCCCCCACCCTGCAGCCCATCAGTTTCAAATAGGGAATGCTGGCAGAACAGAAAGTTTATTATATTTCCTGGTTCTTGTTTTCTCTTTTTAAAAATAAATCCACCTGTTGGCTGCTGATTCCAAATGCAGTTGATATATGCAGTGAAATCTGATTTACAGAAGTTGTTTGCAGTCTGCGGTTATGGTTTTGAAAAAGGTAATAGGAAGGATAGCATATGTTTTTTTCTGCCCAGGGAGATCTGTTTGTAGCTGTTAACAGGAGTTGAAATTTATGCTGAAATTTATTGTAATAAATAGTGGTTATGAACTGCTTTTTGGTCTCCAGGCTGAGCCATAAAAAGGTCTTCAAAGAAAGCAGCTGCCAAATATTGCCCAAAAGAGTCCTTCAAATTTATTTTTCCATGGTCATTATTTTTAGAAGAATAACACAGGACAAATCCAGAACACATTCAGAAGCAGGCTAAACCACTGGGAAAACTAATACTCACAAACCCTCAACTGCAAAACTGATTGTTACATATTATGCACTTTCCACAGTTTATTTCACACACAAAAGTATGAAACATTGCACTTCTGCTGCCAATCCTTTTAAGATGCACATTATTAATTGGACATTCCACAAAAGGCCTAGGTAAATACCAGCCTAGTCCATGCTGTTCTTCCATTCATTCTCTTCCACACACACACATTGCCAGGTATTGAAAAACAAAAAAGTCATGTTGGAGGAGCAGTTACAAGTGGTAAAATTTGTTCTGTTTTCTGGTAGGATGAAGGCAGAACAGAAAGGCCAGTTAGAAGGAAGGACCCTTCGGAAGGGTCCTTCCGAGGCTACTGCCTGCATTTCCCCCCAGCTGAGCGGCGGGAGGGGTCCTTCGAAGGCTCCCGCCGCTCAGCTGCGGGGAAATGGTGCCTATGGGGAAAAATCACAAAGCGATTTTTCCCCATAGGCAAAATCGTAATGTGATCCGAAAAGCGATGGTAAAAAAGCCATCGCTATACGGATCCATCGTTAAACGGGGCGCTCGTTAAACGAGGCACCACTGTATAGTGCTTTTGGTTCCTCATTTTGTCTGAAATAGCTAAATGGCAGCAAAATCAAGTTTCCTCTGGATATTCTTCATAATTCTAATTATCCATCTATTTATCTTCCCAGAGAACCTTTTATCATCTTATCAGGTGGTTTATCATATGACACTGTAGGGAGGAGGCCCTGTTTAACAGTTATGCATGGAAAGAGCACTGCTGTTTTAGAAATGGATTATTCAATAGTTGATTTTCTAACCCTCTGTGAAACTCCATACCCTAATGGTAAGTTCTTCAGAGGTTCTTCTTACCATTTTGTCTTGCTGTTGTCATTATAGAATTCTGTATTCAGATCATATCACTATAAACTAGGGATAAAATGAATGCTAGCTAAATTCTTCTGTCTCGATTTATGCTGTCTCAATCTGACGAGACCACTTGACAAAGAATTTTTAAGCACCGTGAGATTGTCTCATAATATATGCAGACTTTCTGTGTAGGAGCCTTGTGGTGCAGTGGTTAAACTGCACTATTACAGTCCAAAATTTACTCAGGATCTGAGTTCAGTCCTGAGAGCTTCTCAAGGTTGACCCAACCTTCCATCCTGCCAAGGTCTATAAATTGAGTACCCAGCTCATGGGGGGAGGGCTGTGGGTAGCCTGCAAAATTAAATTATAAAAACCATCCAGATAGTGCTTTAAGCACTATGGGGCAGTATATAAGCAGCAAAACCAATGCTTTTTCTCTTTAAGAAGCAAAGCACACACATTCACAAGTAGAAGAGAAGTAGCTTATAGTTTAGTAATATGCAAACAACCCCTCCAGTGCTTATCTTTAAAAGACTATGTAACAGTAGTAGCAATCATAATTTTGCACAATTTGTATTGATGAATTATTTCTGTTAAAAGCATTACATATACAAAAAAGCTTCTTGTTCTCATTCTCTTTTCTTGACATGATCACCACAAAATACCTGTTTTTTGCACTGTCTTCTCATGACATGCTGCCAACCAGTAAGTAAGCTTGTCAGTCACTCATATGTGTTTCATAGAGACCACAAGGGTGGAAGACAGATCACTTACCTGTAACTGTAGTTCTTTGAGTTGTCTATGAATTCACACAACCTGTCCATCCTCCCCTCACTCTGTTATGCCAGAGTGTGTTTTTAACAGTGGCAGATGTGAAGGAATTGAGGATTCACTACTGAATGAAGAGAGCATGCACAGTGCAGAGAGTCAATCTGAAAGACTTTCTAAGCTCTGCAGTATTCTGAGACTGTTTCAGGCACGCAGAGAAAGCACCCTATATGTGTGAATTCAAAGACGGCCACTCGAAGAACTGCAGCTACAGGTAGGGAACCTGCCTTTTTCACTTTCCCTCTCTTGTGCAGATATTATCATTTTGTCTCCTGTTTCATTATTACATTTAGCTGTAACTAAAGCACGTTAAAATTAAACCAGGTTGTTGCCAGCATTCTTTAGGAATGCAAGAATTAGTACAGCATGCTGAAGAGTTTTATATGCATTCACTGTTGTCCTACTGGACATAGGCTATATCACTGTATCCAGTTGTGTCTGTCTGCCAGCATGATGGATGCTGCTGATGCAGTTGATTTCACTTCTGCCTGAAACACCCCCTACTATCCAAATTTACAAAGGGCTCAAGATAGTGTCATACTTTCAGGTCGTTGGAAGAGCTCCTTAGAGAGAAAGAAAGCCAACCAAAAATATTGTTCAACATGAGGAAAGAGAAGTGGGGGCATGGCAGGAGAAATAGAGATGCTTTTTACAACTGTATTATGAGAAGCTGCTTCCACAATATATTTCCAGCTTAATTTCATAAATTACACTAAAAATATAAATTTTACAAGTATACATTGTTACCTATCTTGTAGTACTATGATTAAGGTGGCTATACTTGTCTTTCCTCATAAATGTTTGTAGATTTGTCTACATAGAAAGACAGTAAAAAAATTATTCATATTCTGAGTTTGCTGCCACAGCCAATTCTGATTCTACTCTGAAAGTTTCCTTAGCATTTATAGTCACATTTCAGTTGACAAATATAATTCAATCTGTCCTGAGGTTAAACACTGAGAATTGCACTTTGACCCTTAATGGCTGGTAATATATTGAGTATATTGGCCAGTACATCTTTCCTTTAGGATCAGCTACCAAAAGTAAAACAAAAAGCAAAGTGTGTTGCTTATATACACTTCATAGCACTTAAAGCGCTCACTGGGCAGTTTTCAATTTAATTATTGCCCCCCTCCCATGAGCTAGGTACTCAACTTATCAACCTCAGAATGAGAGGAGGCTGAGTCAACCTTGAGCCGGCTACTTGACCCCATCAGGATCAAACTCAGGTTGTGAGCGAAGTATTGACTGCAGGACTGCAGTTTAACCACTACGCCATGAAGATAAATGAGAAATAAGATAAGTGATGATTTTAAGGGAAACTACATACAGTGGGGTCTTGACTTAAGAACGGCTCGAGTTAAGAACATTTTGACTTAAGAACCGCTCTCATAGGAAAATATTGACTTGACTTACATACTTAGATTTGAGTTAAGAACTGAAAAAAACCCACGTGGGAGGCAGGGAAAGTGCAAAATTTGAACTTTCAGTTAACTGTTGGCCAGTGAAAAGGGTGTCTGTCTGCTTCCTCACTCCTCCCAGCGTTTAGAGAGTGGATTGGGAGACGGTCTTCGGACTGCCTGGTACTGTATTGTCTGGACTGTCTTTTCCCTGCCTTCCCTGAACCTTTCTTGACCTAAGAAAAAAAGAAACAAAATATCCCCCTCTAGTGGTCGAAGGAGGAATAGCAGCTTCCCATTAGTTTCTATGGACGGAAAAGAGCAGATACGGATCAAATGGTTTTCAGTGCATTCCTATGGGAAATGCAGATTTGACCTGAGAACTTTTTGACTTGAGAACCACCTTCCAATACGGATTAAGTTCTCAAGTCAAGACCCCACTGTACAAAAAACACATATGAAAATTTAGTTGCCAAAATGCATTCAAAATGATACATAAACGATGAAGAAAAGCATTAATAAGCTGCTACTGAAACAGGGTGAAACAAACTTATGCATGTGAATATTACAGAAAGGAAATATTAAACCTCCATCCCTAGTCCAATACAATATACTTGGAAGAATGTCATCTAGATGAGGCAGGAACTTTTTTTGAAGTTTATGGACTAGATCAGGGGTCTCCAAACTTTTGAGCATGAGGGCCACATAATATCTTTTCCACATTTTTGAGGGCCAAAGGAACATGTGAGTGTGTATGTGCAACCACACACATGCATGGACACCCACCTGCATGCATCCCCACTTGCATGGACGTCCACCCGCTTGCCCCCACACACAGGCTGAAAGGAACGGGCTGGATAAAATGGCAAAGCAGGCCAGAAGTGGCCCGCGGGGCGTAGTTTGGAGACCCCTGGACTAGATCCATTTCAACATACTTTATGGTTGCATTTCTGAAAAGAATCAGCTTTTTTCACACTGGTGGATTACCTCTTACAACAGGAAGATGTAACCATATGACTGTTGATGGTTTAAATCTTTCAGCATATTTAGCACCACTGGCAGTATTTTTTCTGTATAGCAGGATGTACAAACTGCTTTCCTCCTGAAGGAGGAAGCAAAGCATCATATAATGAGGTTATTCTGAAAACTATTATTTTATGAGGGTTCTCCTAGGCGTTATTCTGGAGTTCAGTTTTATGTGCCATTCATTTTAACATGAAATTGCTGATGAGGATATTTGAAGCTGTGGGTGCATTTCACTTCCATGTAAAGGAGCAAGTCCATAGCCTGGTGGACTTTGACATGGCTTTATGATACTCACATCTGACATAGTCTGTTGTTTGTCTAAACTTTAATTGCTAGACTTTCTTATGCTAGTATATTGTGTCAAAGTTTTATCTGTCGATCGGTCTGTCTGTCTGTCTGTCTGTCTGTCTATCTATCTATCTATCTATCTATCTATCTATCTATCTATCTATCTATCTATCGTCTATCTATCTGTCTATCTATCTATCTATCTATCTATCTATCTATCTATCTATCTATCTATCTATCTATCTATCTATCTATCTATCTATCTATCTATCTATCTATCCCCTGCCTTTCTCTTTAGAAAGGATCTAAGACAGCTTAAACCAGTACTTTTAAATGTTTAGGAAAATAAAATTATTCATTTATCTTTCCCTTTGGACATGTGTGGTTTTTTTTAGATTTCCAAGAGCCATATGCTGTGGTCGTTCTTCTAGAAAAAGATTTAGTGCTAATTGATCTTGCACAAAATGGGTAAGAATTCTGGATGTAATGAAAATGGAGGTATCTCAGTTTCTTGCATGCTTTTAAAGATAATAGCTGGAATCCTGTTATTCTTTTCTTGATGTGTAGCAGCCCCATTGTGCACAGAGTTACAGAAATGAGCCCAGTGTTTAAGGAAATATTTAGTACCCGTATACCTATGGAGTATGGAGTGATAATTCAGTTTTTTATAATTGTAAGTTGGTAATTGCTTGATGATGGTGGAATACTGTTCCTGCACTCCACTATTACAAATAGAACTCTGGCCATTGTTCCATAATTCAGTCTGTTTTCTTAATGAGTGTTTATTTCTGTGGACTTGGCTTTTTGAATACTGTAGTGATGAAGATATTTCAGTTGGTTATAGGTTTTTGGTTTTTTTTTTTGGTCCGTTTTGATTTCACTCTAATGAAGGAACCCCCCAAATCATACTTTTTAATACAACGTGAGTAGTAGGGAAGATATCCATCGGTTTCAACTGGTGAAGTGTTGGAAAGGCTGGTAATTAGTGCAACATGTGAAGAACACATGTCCCCAATACTGAACGACTCACATGTGCTGTCACTTGCTTTATGGGCCCACTTTATGTTGGTGGTTTAACCTTTAAAACTTTAAATGACTTTTCCTGAGGCTAATTTTTTATTATTTAATTTGTTTTATGTTTGTTCTGCATTTAGCTTGTTTTTAATTGTATCTGTTAGCCACTCTTAGCACTATGGAAGAGCAAAATAGTAATTTAATAAACTGAATAATAAACTGAAGATAGCTAGTGGCAAATTCATTGTGTATTAACGCTACATGACATGCTTAAAGTAATGGTATTTATCTTTGGGCTGATTCACACACTTCATGTACTTCACACACTTCATATACATCATGAGACAGTGGAAACATGTCTGTCATAGCTGTTATACCTTTTAAGTAAGATATCAGTGTTGCACATATGTGCCTACGTTATTGTGACCTTCTCATGCTTTCCTTTTTTGAGAGAGAAGGATTGCATATATCTGTCAATGGGGAAAGTCTCCTGCCTTCCTCCCTCCTTGGAGTCTATTGCACGCACTCCAGATATGTTCTACAACATTGGGAATGTTGTGGTTCACATGTGTTGGGGAACAGGTGGGAAGAAGTCCTGAAGTTTGAACTGACATTTGCCTACATGATGCTATATATGTCTGTAAAGTATACATTTAGTTAGTACTGCACATTACATTAAAAATGTGCTAAATAGCATTCTTTTACTATCTTCTTAATGGAAAGGCCTACTGTGTGTGGCCTGCCTGTGTAATGTGCTAAACTGTGTAACTAAACTGTGATGTACTGAATTTATGAGGCTACTAAAGGCTAGCTAGACAAATCGATAAGTGAAATCCTGACTCCCTTATCCTTTCTTGCTTTTAGATGCTATTCTTTGTGTTCTAGCTGCTACATCTTATCCTAAAGAGATTCTAGGTAAAATTTGGTTACACATCTATAGTTACAGCAGTAGATCACTATTATTTTCAGAACTCTGCTGACTGTTGAGTATCTTACTGAAGTTTGAATTAGTAGAGTGCTTAGACTATGCCACATGATTTATTTTTAAATGCTTTTAACGTGTGTCTTAGGCCAATTTAACAAAAAGTATTTACAACTAAATCTTCACTCTTCTGTTCTAAGGATGTTACCATTCTAAGAAAATCCATACATTAATATTTCTTCACGGGATTATAAATATTAAAACTTTGTTTTCCATCTCTGCCTATGTCACATGCATCCATTTACTAATTTTTGTTCTCTTCTATTGACATTTTTACTATAGTTAAAAACTACTTTGAAGAAAAAGGTTAATTTAAAATCTGTGTGTATAAAAATAACTCTTTCATGTGTTTATTGCCTTATTAAAGGTATCCTATATTTGAAAATCCCTATCCATTGAGTATACATGAATCTCCAGTCACTTGTTGTGAATATTTTGCTGACTGCCCTGTGGACCTTATTCCAGCACTTTATTCAGTTGGGGCTCGACAAAAGCGTCAAGGTTATAGTAAAAAGGTATCTAAAGGAGTCAATATCCTAATTTCATAGCAATGATGTTTCATGTACTTGGATTTAATTTGTTTGTTTGTTTCATTAGGAGTGGCCTATCAATGGTGGTAACTGGGGTTTAGTCACACAGAGTTATCCAGAAATCATCATTACTGGGTAAGTAGTAAGATTACTTGAGACCAAGTTGTAAAGGAGATTATGGTATGCTCATCATATATATTGTAATCTACAAATAGTTCAACATACTGTGCTTTCATGCATAAAATGCAATATAACTTTAGAAATCAATTTGGAGAAGGTGAAGAAGATCCATATTTAGTTTAGGAACTGAGACAGAACAATAAACTTCTGTTGCTTTATCTTTTCGCTACATCTAATGCCAGTTTCAGGAGTGAGAAGCAATGCAGCAAGAGAAAAGAAAAGGCCTGCAAAGAGACTTTAGTCCTCTCACCCAGGAGACCAAATTTCGAAAAATTTGGTCTGCTCATGTTTCAGAAGCAGGCTTTTTAGAAATACAGATGTTGCCAAGTACGAAACTAAAACAGCAGGAAAGGTTATTATAATAATCCTAACTTGACAGAGTGATTATATCTGGGAAGCAAAGTTTAGAAAATTACCTTTTGAAAACGTTTTTGGGGGTAACTTTTATAGCGACACATGGGTACGACCCATGTACATGACACATTTTCCGGAATCCTACTGGGGAGATATACTGGCAAAATGTAATCATTTGATTCAGTTGTGAATTACTGTTAATTAACAGGTTGATGCTGTCATTTCTGGTTGTGTGCCAGCTTGAGCAACTGGTATGAATGTGTCAACTTGTTTGCTACTCACAATTCACCACTGTAATTTATGCAGTTACAGTTGTGCTGGCATAAATCTTCAGTAGGAATCTAACCGTTGACAGGCTTGAGAAATATTGCTCATTATTTTGCCATTGCTTTGTTGTTCTGAAAAAACAAATCAGATTGATATGAGAATAGCTAAAAAGAAGGGAAAGTGCTGAAAATGTCACTAAAAATTCCTAAAAAAATAAAATGCCCTTTAAACATCTGTAAAATATTATTCATGACTTTCTTTCAAGTTTTAATGGCAATTCACTCGTCATATTATTTTTTGATTTTTTTTTCTTTTTACCACACTTGTTACAAAGAAAGAAAAAAGAGTAGCACAAATGACTATGTTACTTCTGTTTGTAAACTTTATATTCTGATCACAAAAACTGACACATCAATTAATCAGGGTTCAGAGTTCTCCAGAACAGCATTGGGAGCAGAAGAGTAAGGAAGGAGTTCTTCCCTGCTGCTTCCCAATCATAGCTTTGTGGTTCTGTGTTATCAGTTTCATGTAATCAATTCTGTATTGTTATCTTTGCTGTCCATTCTTTGAAGACTGATCTTGAAAAAACTCTTATTCTTTTAATAGACATGCTGATGGATCAATTAAGTTCTGGGATGCTTCTGCAAGTAAGTATTTCAATGTTTTTTGCAGAAATTGGTCTTTTAAAACCCATGTGCTTCTGTAAAACTGTTCAACTGTGTATGTGATATTGCTGGAATGAATTGCTTTCTTTCTAACTTTTTCACTTCAGTGCTGAGGCTCTGGTGAGTAATGCTTTGCAATGGATGGGCTTAACATTAGTTGTGAATGAATTGTCTGATAGGGCTCAACCCCATTAATTAAATACAAGTCAGATATGTAAACAAGGAGATTGAAGATTTGGGGTTATTTTTTTTTTGTGAGAATAGCTAATTTTAGGTAATTAGTAAGTGATCTGCAATGAACAACCCATATGACAGCTCTTTTCCACACACAAATTGGAAATCCTAAATGTAATTAATGCTTATTAAAAGTGAATCTAACACTATTTTTGATCATGCATTCTGCTTATGCCATTTAATAATTAAGAGCATGTTCCATATCAGTACAAGAAGAGGTTGAAAAGCCTTAATGCTCATTTTTATTTTATCTATTTTATTTATTTTATTTATATCCCGCCTATCTGATCGGGTCAGGACCACTCTAGCCGGCTCATGTGTTTATATTTGAATTGTGAGGTTCCCAGAAAGTTGAGAGGGTTCTTTAAGGTCTGTGTGATTCACACATTTGGGTCCTGTTGTGCCTGTGCAGACACTCCTCAGAATCTTTCAGAGCTTAAAGCCCAACTCTTTTCTCAATTAGCATGATCCCCCCAGCCCCCAGCAATGGCTACTTCTCAATTTCCTCCCGCCTATCACTGAGGCAATACTTCAGTATTTTCCAGAGTGTTTTTTTCTGACTTTTTGTCAAAATTTTTGTATATAATTTGTTCTTATTCATCTTTCTTATCTTTCTCTCATCTTTTCACCTAAAATAAAATAAGTATTATTTCATCAGTCATGTTTCCTCACCTTTTATAGACTTTGTGGGCCCATTCAAGAAGTGTGCCTCTTGTACCAACAAAATCCCTTTCACCAGTGGACATTCAGAGTGTATCATTTGGAAAAGGGTTATCAGACACAAACTTGAGAAATCTGCAAAAATTTGCAGGAGTAGCTTTAAAAAGCAGACAATCAAGATCCAAACAGTATCTCTGGGATAAGTCTCTGAAGAGGGTTGATACTATTGCAAGACAGATCTCACCTTCAACATCTAAGATTTCTATTTGCCAGACTCCATCAAAACAGCCTTATTGGATGCAATTCAAGCAGATCCAATGCTACAAACACCAACAATTTCTCATGAAGGCGCAAATGAATCTCTCCATGTTGGAGTTTCAGCAATTGGTATTGGTATTGAGAGCCACTGCAACAACAGCAACAGTGCTGAAACAGTGTATCTTTGGCACCAAAAAGGAGGAAAATATTTGCATCTGAAATACCTAACATCAAGAAGATTAAAAAGAAAAACAATGGAAGGAACTCTCCTCTGTGATCATGCAATCAGCTACACCTCTTCAGTTTTCTGTCTCATAAGACTTTGCCTGAGGACATTGTGGCGTTCACCTTTGTGGCACCTGCGTTTTTTGCCCTCGCAAAGGCTCACACTGCACTTTCCGCTCGCTGCCACCAGTGGATTACCTCAGTCCACAGTATAAATGCCGTTTGTCAGAACACTTGACTTGTGAATACAAACTGAACTTATTTATTGAAGTGAATCAGATTTAATAATAACAGAGGTTCTTCAGATAATTATTGTGCACAAGCAAATCTGTAACAGTTCTATCAATACATATATTTCTCTTGCAATATCATTGCCACGTTCTCTACCTATTTTCTTGACCAGTCTTATCTTTATTAGTATCTGTTTCCTCTTTCTGACTAACCAAACTCTGACTCAGACTCTCCTTTTACTGGCTCCGGCTCCCTCTTTTAACATCTGTTTCAGTTTTGCCTCTCAACCACATTAGTATAGAACATGAATAATACATGACTTATTTTGCATAACAAGGGTGAACGCTACAGACCTCATTTGCTTGGGAGCAATGTCAGGTAAGGACAGAAGATTTCCACCTCCTCAACATTGCGAACTACTTCTGATACCAAGTGAGTACCTGCATAGAGCCAACTAACTCAAGATGTGTCAACATATTCTGAGTACAAGAATCCTCATTGGCACCAAGAGATCTTGAAGGAGTCTCATCAAAGTTATGCTTTTCTTCATCAATGAGTGTGTCCAGTCCAGCATGAGTCATCCTTTCAATGTCCAAGGTCTCCATATCGCAACAACAGCAAGCAATCAGAATTGAACTCCACATATAGGTCCAGGTTGCCTTTGATGAGGGCCAGCTTTGCAGATTCATTAGCATCAATGTATGTATCCTCATTGCTTTGATATCTGTCAACATCAGCATTGCAACATCAACATCAGTATCAAACGATTGAACCTAATTGTGTTCGAGACCACCATCAAAATCAACAGGATAATCAATACTGACAAGGTTCCCCCCCCCAAAAAAATTTGGTACACAATGCAACTTGAGCTACAGGAGAATAAGAAACCAAACATCATTCTCCTCCCAACAAACAGACTTGTTCTGCTCCAAAGCACCACAACACATCTATACTTACTGTAGCTCAATTTCTAATGCCAGTGATGTCCAACACTAACCTTCAGTTAGACAATTCAGACTCTTCCAATTCAGATTATGATAATAATAAATCTCAGAACTTTCCATCACAGTTTGATTCTGATGTCAGGGATGCAAATCCTCCTTTACTGATTGAAGATTTCAGGTCATTCTTAGATCGAATGCAAAGAATGGCTAAATTTCTACACATAGAAGTAAAAAGATTTCCATCACCCCAATCTGATCTGATATCTAACAGAGTCCAACATAACATTTTAGATCCAGTTCAGATAGTACTATTACCATCTCTGTTTGCTTTGGTGAACAAATCATGGCAGAAGCCTCAGTGCTGCCATCAAGATCCAGAAGAGTATAAAATAGCACAAAAAATAGAGGGTATTCCATCAACAAAACTTTGTTATTGTAGAGGTTTAACAAACAAGGTTAAAGGGTTGTCTGAATGGTGACATTGTCCACAGTAGTGTCAGTGTTACAGAAGGATTTGTCATAATAGACCTCAAGGACACTTATTTTCACATCTCCATCTGACCAGCTCATCACAATTTCTTGCACTTTTCTTTGGACAACTGAACATTCAAATGTATTGTTATCTGCTTTGATCTATCACTGATACCCAGAATTTTCACCAAGGCATGGCTCTGGTGGCAGATTATCAAAGAATGCAGAGAATGAGTGTATTCCCATATACTGACAACTGGCTGAGGCACAATCAAAGGAAAAAACAGTGATAGTATAAAATCACTATGAAGTGAGGAAAATTATAAATACCTTGCAATACTAGAAGCAGATAACATCATGCACACAAAAGTTAAAGAACTGGCAGAAAGCGAATACATCAAAAGACTGCAAAAAATCTTAAAATCAAAATTAAATGGTGGAAATTCAATCAAAGCTATAAACACATTGGTAGTTCCAATAATTAGATACCCAGCTGGAATAATAGCTTGAACCCAAAATGCATTAGAAGAATTGGATCAAAAAACACAGAAATTAATGAACATGTATCACGCATTACATCCCGAAAGTGATAGGAGCCGATTATATTTATCATGAAAAATTGGAGGCCGGGGGTTACTGCAAATATAGCATGTAGTAGAGGAGAAACAAAGAAGCCTAAATGATTATATTGGTACAAGGAGAGAAAAATTACTTAAGGCGGTGAAAATGGATAATATTCTGAAAAATAAAAAAATAAACAAAGGCTTGATATAACAAACAACAATTTGAAAATAAATTAAACAGAAAAATAAATCACTACATGGGCAACGCCTGAGAAATACTGATAGGAAGCATGATAATAATTAAACATGGGCATGGCTGAAACTGGTAACCATTTAGAAAGGAACCGAAGACTTGATTTCTGCTGCACAAGAACAAGAACAAGCACTCCATACCAATGTGATAAAAAGCTAAGATTCAAAGACTTCGTGCTAATAGCAAATGTTGACTCTATCAAGAAAAAGATGAAACTGTGTCACACTTTATCTGTAAATGTCCAAAGGTTGCACAAACAGATTACAAAATTAGACATGATAGAGTGGTCATCATGCAAAAATTAGTGCACTGGTCATCATACAAAAAACATAATTTGCCAGCCTCTAAAAACCCATGGGAACATCAGGTAGAGAAGGTGTCAGAAAATGAGGAAGTCAAGATTTTGTGGGATTTCAGTTTCCAAATTGATAGACACCTTGAACATACCACACCAGACATAGTAGTAATAGAACGAAGAAATGTCTAGATCATTGACATTGCAATTCCAACAAATGCCAGAGTTGAAAATGAAGAACTGGAGAAACCAACAAAATACAGAGATCTGGGAATTGAAACATCTTGCTTATGGATGATACACACTTCAATGGTCCCCATAGTCATTGGGACTTCGAGAACAATATCAAGATATTTCACACAGTATATAAGCAGTTGCAGATCTCAGAAATAACACCATTAGAGCTACAATATTAGGAACAATGTACATACTGCACCAATATTTACCAGATACTTAGGTTTTTGGTTAAAACGTGTATTTATTATACCAATGTTTTTGTGATTTTAATTGACTGTCTGGTATTTTTTAATGATGATGCTGATGTGGTCCTTGTTGTACTGGCTGAAGTATATAAGTAGAGATGGGGGTATTCGTATACAAATGCGAATATCCCTGCACTGCTGGAGTTAACAAGAGTCGAGCCCCTGGGGCCGGACCGTCCACTCATACGTCCGCTGCTGCCGCTGGCCCTACTCATCCTTCCAATCTCTTCTGAGTGCCATTCTCTTTGTGGTTGTCTAGCCACTCCTGGCAGAGGGAGAGAGGATGAATGTCCCTGCAAGGGCTGCTGAGTGGCTAGCTGAGCAGTGCTTCGGAGCGACTGGAAGGAAGAGTGGGGCTGCCAGCAGACGTTAACTCCAGCTGTGCAGGGATGTTCATATTCGTATACGAATACCCCCCTCTCTGTATATAAGTCATAGGATCCAAAAGGCTGTGTACAGTATTTCCTGGCTCCTGTTTGCATCTCAGTCAATAAGAAATGAAAGTAAAGCAATGTATAATATCACCTTTGTTTTAGAAATGCCTTGTTTAACCAATATTTTTATTTAAGTAGAAATGCTCTTAAAAATAAAGTGCATTTATGCATGTAACTAACTTTATTTTTTGTTTCTTCCTAGTAACATTGCAGGTGCTATACAAATTAAAAACAGCAAAAGTCTTTGAAAAATCTCGAAATAAAGATGACAGGCCCAGCACAGATATTGTAGATGAAGACCCATATGCCATTCAGATCATCTCATGGTGTGCAGAAAGCAGAATGCTCTGCATAGCAGGAGTTTCTGCACATGTCATTGTATATAGATTCAGTAAACAAGACATTACAACAGAAGTTATTCCGGTAAACAGCATTCATTTGTATTTGACATACATTTCTATATTTGTTAAGATCCCCATTTGTGACAGTATACAAACTTAGCAATGTTAACCTCAACACTTTTGTGCAATTTGTTCTATCATGTTCAGTGAACTTTCTTTAGGCTGCTGATATGTAGTTAAGGATATTCTCAGGTTCCACTGGCACTCATATAGATAAATAATTGTTATTTGCGAGCTATTGTCCCATGTGAGTATATGCATTACTAATCACATGTCTTATTTCAAACTGTATAGTAGCTTTTTTGTCAAGTTTCACTTATGTCCCATATTTCTCAGTGAGGTTATAAAGACATAACCTAAAATCCTCTTCCATAACTTATGCCTGCAGAAGGGTGATTATGTTATCAGCAGGATGATTTTCAATAATTAAAAATGTTCCATTTCTCTCATGTGTTTCCCACAACTTCTGTGAAATCAAAAGAAGTTGAAAAAGATATGGGGAAAAGTAGTCAGTTTTTAATTAAGAAAACCACCGTCTGCCAGTGGCATCATCAGCCTACTATAGGCATAGTTATATGAACAGGATTTCAGTCACTTTGTACTTCCTTTTTTAAAAACTCAATTTTGTTCAGTTGTTTTCATTCATAAAACATAACCTGTACATAAGCTGATTTATCAAAGTTCTTGTTTTGTTTTTTGTTTTTTGTTTTGTTTTTTTTTTTTGAAGGATATATTATGGTTTCAAGATATGGCTGGCTACATGTTTTTGATAAATTTTGTCTTTAATTCTGAAGTTATTGTTGGAATGAAAGTAGTATGTTGTCAGTAGCTCTAAGATTACATGTGGTCTGTTTCTTCACTGTCATTTTCAGATGCTTGAAGTACGGCTGTTGTATGAAATAAATTACATAGAATCCCCAGATCCCGAGCAATTACCACCACTGCCTACTCCAAACACAGGTTCCAATCCACAGTCCATTGCACCCCAGTCTCACCCATCTACTAGTAGCAGCTCATCTGATGGGCTTCGTGATAATGTCCCATGTTTAAAGTAAGCATACAGTTTTTATCTTAATATGCATCCCGTTTTCATAAACTGTCTGTTCTGTTTGTTAATCATAATCCCTTTTGACATGCAATTCTTTGAGATATGATTATCCGCACTTTCTCCTAGTATATAATGGCCAAAATTCTCTTGGTGTAGCTTTGGGAGGCAAGCTGCCCAAAGTTAAGAAGTCACCATAGACATTATCTGTTGCATGCTGAGTCACAGAACTCAGTAGAATAGTGTGATGTCTTAACTTGGGGCAGTTTGCCTCCAAAAGTCTGTTCGTGATGTACCACCATAACTAGTAAGAGAATTTGGGTCTTTATGCAACAGAAACATCTGTATTGTGCTTGCACAGCATCATTGTACAAATATTTTTTCATTTAACAATAGCATATGAAACTGTATTTTGATGGCTGTGCTTACTGAATTTTCATTTATAACAGGCACATCTTGAACAGCTATTGAGCTTCACCTGTCTGGAATTCTTCACACATTGTACTTTAAATATTTAAGTTATACTTGATCAAAATGGACATTGTTTTTAGGGGGAAGGTTGTACACTTCAAACACAGACACGTATTTTTGTCATCTGTATGTAATCTTCTATAAAACTTCAGTTTTTTCCTTAGAAAGCAATATCTCAGTTACAAAGAAAACTGGATGCCAAATTTCACAATACTTTTAACTTCACATGCTTGTGCCATTTATTTCTTAAGATCTGTTCCACAATGCTTTGTGATTACGAGTTATGAATAAATAGTCCCTGGTTCAAATTTCAGTTCAACCAAGGACTCTGTAGATTATATTAGACTAGTTATAAACTCTCAGGCTAGCTCAGTAGTGACATTAATGGTGGAATGTGATTTCTCGCTAAATTTCAGCATACATCCAAGTTCATCCCACTATGCAAAAACTTCATAATGGAACCTAGGAATGGCCTCCATAATTAAATATATAACTGTCTTCTTGTCCTTACTACTACTACTAATACTACTACTAGTACTACTACTACTAATAAAAACAGGATTTGGCTTTTCAACTTGTTGTAACAACTAATGAAAACACTTCTATGATATTAAGTGTGCCTCACTCCATAAAAACAATGTACCAAATAAAACTGGTTTTAGTATTTAGTATATCTCAAGACTAACATTACTACTCCATTCGAATCTGGTATAAGGTACGCTAAGTGCTTTAAGTTCTAGAAATAGAAAACACATGATAGGAAATTGTTATCCATCCTATGGGGGTTTAATTTTTAGATTATGCCTTTTTCAGACGTATAATACTGTCCACCTTATATTTTTATATCGAGTTTTAAGAATAAGCAGGCACAAGCCTGAGGGGCACATGTTTTTTCCTCTTATGTTTTGACTGCTTAATCTGTATCCTCAGCAAACTATAATTTCCTGTTTCATCTGAACTGAACAAACAACACTTTTTCTATTTTGCCCACACTCAAGGATTAAAAAAACGCCCAGAGTATACCTTTGGTCTAGATGGGTGGGATAGAAATCCCATCAATCAATTAATCAATCAATCAGTCACTCAGTCAGTCAATCAAGCAATCAATCAATCAATCAATCAATCAATCAATCAATAAAACAAACATTCTTAAAATCAGTTACACAGTTGTGTGCAAAAGTGCAGAAGGAGCAGAGATTTGCAAGCACAATGCTTATGTCAGTTCATTGTTAGTGTGGATGTTTATTCCAAGTAAATCAATAAGTAATCACCATATCAAGGTATCTTCTAGAGTAAATATTTTTAGCAATATTAAGTTATAATAACAAGTATAAAGAAATGTCCCTTTTTGGTCAATCTAAAGAGTTATTGTATTATTTTAAAGGTTTTACAAAGAGGAATATTATCTACTTTTCATATATATTGCAGAGTTAAAAACTCTTCCCTCAAGCAGTCTCAAGGCTATCAGGTTGAACTGGTTATTCAGTTAGTATGGGTGAGTGGAGAACCTCCTCAGCAAATAACGAGCCTTGCAATCAATTCTGCCTATGGCTTGTAAGTATATTTGATGTTACTTTATATTTGATGTTGACTTGAGTTTTTTTTACTATATTCTTATTAGTCATAACGTGTTGGTCCCAATTACAGTACACTCATTGAGTCAATAGGTATTACTTGTGCCAGTCCTATTTATTCAATGGGTTTGCCCTACTTAACAATAACAGTTGGACTTTGCTCTTTGTTCTGTTGCAGAAGCAGTATGATGTTACAGAACAACTCCTATATCCATGTTGCTTTAATATGGCCTGCACCTCCACAGTTAAAATAAAATAACTGTCACATTTTTACTTATAATGCACTTATAATTATATCTATAAGGGATGTGCATTCGGATTTTGAAGTGCTTGGAATTCACTGAATAAAACCAAATTCAGATAGTTTTGAATATCTGGAATAATAATTCCTAATAGTCAGAATCCCATTTACTATTGTACATTAGAAAACAAAAGGATAGGTTTCAGCTTCTTAGAGGAAGAAGTAAAACCTATTTCTCAAGCATTCTGGAGTGACTTGTTGAGAAATGAAACCTAAAGACACTCTGTCTAACCCCCAAGGGTAGTGGAGGCAGAGAACTCAGTGTCTTCTGATTGGGACTACCATGAGTTTCCCAAGGGAGGTGTGCTGGGATAAGAGCAAAACCTTTAATGGATGTCTGTCTGCACCAATGGAATCTAGAAGCAGGGAATCTAGAACCATCAAATCTCTCCTGTACAAAGCAGTATTGTGGTTGTTAGGAACTCCCCTTCAAATACATATGCATCTGACATGGGGGAGGAAGAGACTGAAGAGATTCAGGCGGGCACTATTTCAGAAACATGTGAAACTAAAATCCCCCTCCAACTGCACTTGCCCACCAGTTGCCAGAACTAGTATTGATGGCAAGTTAGCAATCCCTGTTAGGAACATGCAGTCAAAACCTGGAATTTCAAAGAAATCAATAATCTGGAAGCATTTTCAATAGTGTGCAGCAGATGTGTGTCTGAGTGGCAGGAGACATTGTCAGTCCTCACTGCTCACACTTGGAACCTTGATCTGTAGAAAGACATATTTTCCTTAAGGTCAGCCTACCATTGCTAAGCTTCCGTGAAGCTCAGTGTTTGCCATTCAGTTTTTAAATAAAACAGAATAGCACACACTACTCACAGTACTAGGTATGCCATGCTTCTTTCATTCTTGCAACTTTTAATCCAAGATTAAACTCAGCTGTGCCCCACACCGTTGCCACAGTTTCCACCCACCACAGGCTATCTGCTGCTCCAATATGCCTGCCATTGTTGCCCAGGGTATTTGCTCACTCCCCAGGGCAACCTGTCCTCTGCTTTCCTAATGCTGCTAGCATTTCTTGCTGGGATCCCCACTGTTCAGGATTCAGTCAGTATGCCTATTACAGTAATTTCCTAATACATTGGCACTGCTGGCTGTTGGTGTGCACTCTTTTTGTTTGGCACTATGACTGGGAAGGTATCAGAAGACACAGGAAAATCATTTAAAAATGTTTTGCCTATTTGTGTTTTTTATAAAGGGGAAAATATTGACTCTATAGTATTCATATTGACTGTAACAGAGATCCAGATACCTGGAAGTGTTGAATTTTTAAAATTCTGAATCTGAAGGGCAATAATTCTGAATCCGAATAGTATTTAGCTTGTATTACATTTCTATTTTAAATTTAACTCAGTACAGTGGGGTCTTGACTTGAGAACTTAATCCGTATTGGAAGGCAGTTCTCAAGTCAAAAAGTCTGTAAGTCAAGTCTCCATTAACCTACACTGCATTGAAAACCGATTAATCCCGTAACAGGCCGTTTTTGTTCCATTTTGGTTTTTTTCTGGTCTGTAAGTCAAATCTCAGTCTGCAAGTCAAACCTAAAGTTTGCAGCCAGAGAAGTCTGTAACTCAAAAAGTCTGTAAGTCAAGCCGTCTGTAAGTCAAGGGTCCACTGTAATCCCCTTGCAATTTATAGCCTTGCTTTGCATTAACTAGAACAACTCTAAATGCAGGGCAGTGGTGTGTACACAGCCACCAGAAGCTTATCTGAAGTAGGCTTAGCATTTTCTGGATTAAAAAGTATTAACTTCCAAGTTCTCTGAAAAGATATTTACCCCTTGATAGTAGTAAACCCTTGATGAGAAATGTGGGCACTGTGTGTAGTGAATGAGCATTTATTAGTATAATGATATAGAAGGCTATAAATATGCAATAATGTGGGTTTTCTGGTAAACTGGATTTTCCCCTATTTCCCTTAATTAACTAAGTTCTGATTTGTGTATTTAAAGCAGACCTAGCAAACAGAAAACTAAAAAGTATTCTATACTAAATTTATATGCTATGTCAGTAACTCAAAAGGTGTCAACCAAAATACCAGTCAAGAACACAACCCCATAATGTACTTTATTTAATTTAAATACTGGCTGAAATCCTGTTCCATAGCATGAAATCCTTTCCATAGGATTTCATGCCATAAAGTTACATCTATAGAAGTTCAGTAAGAGTTATGCACAAGCAGTCTGCATATCTGATTGTGTAACTGATTGCACAACTGACTGCACAACTAATTGCACAACTGAATCCACAAAATACCTTGGATATGATTTCCACCTTGATGCAATTTCTGCAACAGCTTGTGCAACCTAAAGTTATGCAACAGGATTTGGGTGATTATATCCAAATAAATTTGAAACTAAATATGGACATTATTTTTACCAGAGTGCTTTCATATTTAAGACATGTCAAAATAGCATAGGTACTCCTTACAGTGCTTAGATATTAAGAAAATAAATACAGTGGTGCCTCGCTTAACTATTGCTCCGTTTAGCGATGAATTCGCATAACGATGTGTTTTTTTAGAAAATAATATGCACCGTATAACGATGTTTCCTATGGGTGATTTTCGCTTAGCGAAGTTTGGGACCATGCTTCGCATAACGAATGCGATTTTAGGTCCCCTGCTTCACTTAACGATGTTTCTTTTTTCAATTAAAAAAGTGTCTTAGAAGGGTCAAAAATGGTTCTAAATGCTTGGATTCATTAGAGGACCCCCTAAGTCATGTGCAAACCTGATTTGGCTTTGATCTGACTTTTCGTTAATTTATGGTTAATTTTTTTTT